GACAAAAAGTAACCTTCAATTAAATTAATCATTACGTAATGTGATTTTGTACTTTTATTGACATGTGTCATAATATTTATTGTATACCTAATAAAATAATAGCATCTATACTAAGAATTGTTTATAGAAAAGTTTGTACAAAGAAGATTTGTTTATTCAAATCTTAGATTTCACCTTTACGTGTTTGTTAAATGATTCGCATTATGCAAACTATTTGAATATAAAAAATCAAGAATAAATATTCAACCTACAAAAGACACGATATTTAAAAGCAATAACTCTACTTAAAACTAAATAAAAGTTGTAATTTTTGATCAAATTAAATTTAAATATATATTTAATATACATTGGTCCCTGGGATTGCGATTAACATGATCAGCGAGTGTTTTACAAAACAAGCAAAAATTTTTAATAAATTTGAACTTAATCTTACATGCTACATGCTAAACTTACACTCCAAGAGTTTTGTAAAAATTATTTCAACATTGTAAACTCATCGATAAACTTGTTTTGATATACCAGTCAAGTTCGTTTGGAAATGTACCACGAATTAAAATCACAATGAAGTAATTAAGAATCTATATTATAAATAAATGTAATTAATAACTGACTGTTACTTTAAAATATTAAGGAAACTAATATGTTGCGTATTTCAATGTAAATATAGATGTAAACAATAACTTTACGAACTAACGCAATGTTTAACATGAATACTAAATCAATGTACATACATGCATTATTGTAATTAATTACTTAAAATTAATCTGTATTAATGGGTAAAAATATAACTATTATTGATTACGGTCTGCATAATTATAGGATTAGTAATTATTTGTATAATAAGGTATCCATGGAATACATTTGAATAATTAATAATTATACTAATTATCTAATCTATATTTGTAAATTAGGATTACAAAACAGACGAATAATTTAATATAATTTATTACAACTATTTAGATATTTGAAACTCAACTTTTACTAATAAGTATATTAATTGCAATAATTATTTACAATAAATTGAAGACAAAGAAGTATATCGTTTTAAATAATAAATATAATTTATTGTACACAAACATACAATGGTTGTTGACCTGCGTTAATCAATAATAAGTCGATAATTACAAATTAATTTGAATGAAAACTTGCTCTAATAGACATATTCAAAATTCACATTACCAAAATGAGTAAAGTAGGAAAAGTGATTTATTTTCCATCTACTTCCTGCTTCTCTTTTTAATATTCAAAGGGCGTGGTTAATTTAGTACGAATACATTTTTTTTTATCGCTTTTACTAATAATTATAAATCATTACATTAAATGGCAAAGTCGCGTATGATAATGGCTCGAGGTGAATCAACTTTAATGGAAAATAATAGGTTAGTAAATTATGCTGCCCAGCCTTGACCAGGCAGGCTCAGGACGTAAGCATTGATTAAAAAATTGAGGAAGCGATCCGTGCACGCGACAATTACGAAATTTCCATGGAAAAAAAGTAATAATAAATGCAAACGCAGGTGGAATTGGATGAGAACATAATTCATAGCGTATATATTATACGGTCTGAAATGAACTGTGAATCCGAAGTGTGCATATAAATATGACGCTGATGCTTTTTGGGGGGGTCTGCGAACGTGTGAAAATCGATCCGGAAACTATTTGAAATCTGGTGAAAAATAGTTTAATCCTGACTCGCGCCGTCTATTTATGCGGGCAACCATAGAAGGAAATTGTAATGTCAGACCACACATCAAAATCGATAATTTCGAATTGGAAAATATGTATGTTTCGATTGCAGATTTGATCGGTCTTCAATTAAAGTTTAATTTGATTTAATCATAGCTCAGAAATAAAAAGTTTGTGAAAATTAGCAATGGTTTAAATATAGACAAATAATTGTAATACTTCTTCCAAATAGATTATGAAATATTTGTGGAAAGTTTTGATTAAAAAAAAAATGTAGTCCGTCGAATTATTTTTTAAAGAAACCGTAATTTCTAAGTTGTAGATTTTATGAATTTAATGGACTAGAGAACTATAAAATACTTTTATGAAACAGATTTATTTTGCTAAGCTTTCTCGGCTAAAAACCATCCAAAGTTAAAAGGTTTTGGATACTAAGATGTTAGAATAATTAATTTGTTTCAAGAAAAACTTTAAAAATGTTGTTGCAATTATTATTAAATCCGAAGACACTATTTGAGGCTATAAAAGAATAATATTATAATAATGCGGACAAAGATCGCTTTAAAAAAAATAAATTCAACAGTTAGAGATTTCTGCAAACATGTATGTCTATTTATTATGGAATTGTTTACATTTCAATTTAAGAAATATTGGGAAGGAAAGAACAGTGTAAAATCTATCATTTCTCTTGAAATGGCCGTACATTCATCATGCAGTGTGCAATTTATTTAAGTTGTTTCTTATCTTCTGAGCAGACGGATAATGTGTTTGTGTGTTGTAAATATATATATAAAAGCGTGCATGAATGTGTGTATAGACTTCAAAAGAAGAAAGTTCCCTGGAAACGTGAACGCAGTACATTTCGGGTAGATAAGATTCGTTCGAGAAGTAAAAGGAGTCAAAATAATTTATATTCCCCACATACGAAACAAAGCTAATTTTTGTTTCGGAGCTTTAAAGTGGTGCCGAAATCCTCAACCCTCCATTCATTTCACATCCTCTCCCCCTTTGTAGCAAAACCATTCCACCTGTAATCTTCATTATCTTGGGACCGGAATCATCAGCATGAGCCAACCATTCAAACTATTCCCTTCCTCTTCTGTATATAAAACGGTGGAACGGGAGGAGGAAGGAAAACTATTTCACAGCGATATCACCGCAAATTATAACAGTCGAAGTTACTTGCAAGCAGTTCCATTTCAATCCATGAAACTGATCCCAGCGAACGAGAAATTGAAATGGAAGTAAACAAATTACACGGTCGCCTCCTTACATAATGACAATATTTTTATTCTTTGAAGATTTTAATTATACGCATTTGATAGAACGAATGACGACTTTAAGGACGAAACGATTATTTTTCATTGCGGTAATCGTCTGTTCCTTTTTTTTGTTAAGTAGAGAATCAGTTAAAGCGTATGAAGATTCGAATTGAAAACTTGATACAGCCACGAGCGGTTTGGCAAATAGCATGGAGAGTTAAGCATGCGGAAATTTTAGGTAAATGTACGGAAAGTTTCGGAGCCGCTGCAATTTGGATCTCAAAAGAAAATTGGGAAGAGACGAAATCGTTAAAGAGCGATGCTTTCAATGACTCCAAGATTATAATTAAATAAAATATTTACATTATTTTATGTTTAGTATTGAAAATACATTTTTTTTACTGAA